AAAATAATATGTATCATGGGCTTAGTCTAGACCTTTGTATTTATTTTTGCATATAATAATAATTTTTTTTTTTAGCAAAATTTATCTGCATTTCAAATTGGAACGGATACGTGATCTTTTATTATTTAATTTAAATATTTAGTATATTAAACAAGTGTTATCAATTATGTCAAATGCACAATCTATTGATTCATTAAGAGAGGTAAATGCTAGGTTCTTAGTTGAGATTTCTGAACTCAGAAAGAAGTTTACCGAGGTTAAGGCTGAGAATGTGAAGCTGAAGCAGATTATTGAGAAAAATGTTAGGCGTGATACTAAAGATAAAGAATTAGAGCAAAAAAATACAGAACTTAAGGCTAGACTAGTGATAGTGGAACAGGTTGCTCAGTAATGAATGATCAGCTACATAAAGAAGCAATATCAAAAAGGTCTGTAAAGCAAATCGTATCAGATGTTAATTTATCTAGCTCTATGTCAAACCAGCGAAATAATGATGATATTAAGACATCAGAAGAAAAGGAGATGGATACTTTCTTGATTGAGGTAAATAAGAAAAGTATTAGTAATAAAATTAGAGAGAGCAGACAAGAAAAGAAGGTTCAGGATAAGATGATTGCCAAAGATTCATCTTCTGTTATTTCAGATTTGACTCATTATGAGTAGAATCTTTCTATGACTAGCGTTGAACTTGTAACTATCTCAGAATGAGTAATCAAAGAATTGATTTCAGCCTGTAAATCAGTTACCTCTAGTAACAAATTATCTGCTGAAACATCGCCAGTAAAATCATCTATGGTGAACAAACAGTTTTGACTTCTGAGAATATAGAAACAGAATGTCAAAAAATTCATTATAATCAAAAGTAAAGTAAGATTTAAGACAGAAAATATTCTTCATTGAAGTTGGTGATGGTAAGATTAATAAGGCATTTGATATTCAGATTTCTAAACCCTCTTTAGAAGCAATTCTGATAGAATCTAGTGAAGTTATAGCATAGAATATAGTTGATTTATTTAGAGTAACAATGAAGCTTAGACGTAAGGAGATTTTATGCTGATATTGTTATTATAAAGTATATAAGGATCAAGTTAGAGATATTAAGTTTAAGAATGGTATTGATGACAAATCAGCAAGAACATTAGTATACAGTGAAATCAAACCCCTTCTTTCTGATATTACTGATGTAAACTTGTGTAAAATAACTTTCAGAGCTAAAAAAATCTATATATTGTTTGATGGGATAGGAATAAATAGAATCCAAATAATTAGCTGTAATGCAAATGCTATTTCGAATTTATATGATAATCAGATCCAGGATATTATAAATGATTTTTTCAAAAAAACTACTAATACAGATAATGTAGGTTATAAAGACTCTGTTCCAAATTAGAACAGACACGTGACTTTGAAAATCAATAAAACTAAGATACAAGTAAATCTCTCAGAAGTAAGTACATTAGCAAATGTATTATTTGCATCCAATCTAAGCCAACCTATGATTGCATCTATTTTCACAATAAGACATTAGATCAATATTCTGATTTATATAGAAAATTTAGTAGTGAAAATTTCGATTATTATGAAATTACCAATGAGAAAATATGCCTATTATGTGAGTTAGAGCATGATGAGGAAGAAAGAATAGAAGGTAGATATAAAGCTGGATCTTATTTTATTAAATATAAATAGTGTGAAATTGAGATAACTGCATAGTCTGATCACTTTAGTCAGAAGTGTATTGCATAACTCTATATTTGCTTACGCTCTATTGTGATATTTTTTTAGGACTAATTTATGTTAACTATTACCTAAAACATGTTCAAAGATGACAAACTGGCATACAATCTGGTGTCAATATGCATCATTATTGTATTTCGACTGGATGCCAGTTGGAGATTATTGTATCATATTGATGAATACTGATTATGGTCAGATCATGATGGCAATCGGGATATAATAGGCCCAATAAAATAGATTATTGGAGTTAGTTTATTATATCAATCACAGAAAATTGAATTATTAAAATTAGTATTGATAACAATTTTATTAAAAAATAAATTACAATCAGATCAATAGAGGATTTATCAAATTAAATTCAATCAGAAATCTGATTGATGGTAAACTTTTAATGTTTATAAATTCGTTTATTCATTCGTATTAAAGTTAGTTTATCTCACAGTATAAAATAAGTTAAGTCTTACACAAGTTAGAATATAGACAATTGTACCTAATTTATTCAGTTGCTTTAAATAATTTGTCCAATTGTTCAATAAGAATAATTAGGAATGTTCCGATTAAGAATGATTTATATATACTTCTTAAATAAAATGTACAATTTAATAAATTTGCAAATTGATATTATATTATATAAATAGCAAATATTATTCCAGCATACAATGAAATATTATAATTTATATATAAAAAACTTCTGCCGATAATTTATATAAAAATAGAATATTACTTTAATAAAATAAATACCTAGTCGTATTTTTCAATGCTTATAATTATTATCCTCATTGGTCGGATCTTATGAGAAGTGTATTTAATGATCGCTCTACACAAGCCTTTTGTACAGCCATTTTTAACGAACCTTTATATTTATTAATAGTCCATTTGGAACCTAAAATGGCTTCAATTGCTCCTTTTCATAAAAATTGACAGAGTCGTAAGCTTAAAATCACTTCTTTGGAACTTTAGATGACTCAGCAAATATACGATCAATATAATCGTGTAAAAATATTCGTAACTACAAATAAAAATTAAAAATTAGAAAATTAGTTAATATCAGAATCTCAATCACATAATATTCATAATATTTATCATTAATCTTACTGTAACTGAGTGCCATTTTAAGTCTTTTACTACAATCTTTCTTTTATTAGAGGTGTCTTCTTCATCAGTCTCTGCAATTTCAGAAGAATGATATATAGAATTATCATTAATTGGCTGAAGTTCATGATCTTTGAACATCTCGATTAGTAGATCATTGATTGCTTTTAATGTTTAATAGTATTGGCACGATTCCTTTGTTTCTGTTATTATAATAAAATTAGTAAACAAAATAAAAAAAAATATGCTCATTATTACTTATGTCATTTCTCCTACTATTTAAATATTTTCATCTTGCCTACTCATCTTAGTAGGCTAACGATCATTATTTTTTTAAATATTCTTCTCATTGGTATTTATGTCTACTATGAAGCATTTCATATACAATAGATTCAGAAACTAAAAATATTTCCAAATTCAAAGCATTCATTACTGATGGGACTATTATACTATTTATAATATTCCTCTGATCTTCAAATGTTTGATTTAGTTTCAATTGATTTTGAGTCAGTAATCTTTCAATTATCCAAAAAATCTGACGCTGAAAGGATATCATTAATTATCTAAAGCGAAGCGTAAAACATTAATGTATGTATACTGGTAAAATAAAATAATTTACTCTTAAAGCATCTTGGAGATCATTAGATAAACATCTTCAGGATAATCCGATGATTTTATATTTATATGTAAACTTTCTTGTTATAGTGAATTTGTAATAAAATTAAACTTGCTTTAATAAATAAATAAGTCAGTAGTATATAAGTATTTTGATCTACCATTACTCCGATTAGAACTTGAATTCAAAACTGATCAGGATTGAATTCTAGATCTTATTGGACTTCAAGATCTTGTTAAGCTTTGATATCTTGATTAGCTTTTACTCTCCTATTGTACTCAGACCCGCGATTGATTTTGAAAACTTAATTGGCTTCAACTTCAGTCTTGTTGTACTTGGAGCTGATTTCGACTTTCCGTCTTATAGTTTATATCAAATTGATCTGGTAATAAAATATTTTTCAGTTCCAATTTCTTCGTTTTGCTTTGTAGGAATTCTTTAAATAGTTCTTGAATATCGTTATCTATAAAAGTGAAGCGAATTGATCTAAAATATATGTTCATCATGTATAATATGATGTAAATACTGGTAAAAAACAATAAAACTTACCCTTATCAGCTTGTTTCTCTTTCTCCTTTGCTTTATTATTACCTCTTTTACGATGTTTCTTTGAAGATGATTCATCATCTTCATCATCTAATTCTAAAAAATTAGATGACGGAGATCTATACTGATGATTATAATTAATTATATGATGAATGAAACGAAAAAAATAATATCATTGTTGTAACTTGTCAGTTATGATTAAAATTCTTTCTTTTATCTATATCATAACTTGAACTTCTATTTCTATAATAACTTGGACTTCTATCTTTATTATAACTTGAACTTATATCTCTATCATAATTTAACTGTCTATTTTTATCATGCCTATCTCTAATATGCCATCTATCTCTATCTCTTCTTGACTGAGACTTATTTCAGTTATGTTTAGAACGAGAACTCCTACTAGAAGTTATAATAAATAATAGATAATGTCTGTATTATGGTATGTATTTTAAAAAGTGTAAAGTAATTTTATTTTCTTTTTTAAAGTCGCTTTGAAGTTGGTCCTTTTTATATCTATCAAAATTGATCTAAAAGTATATCAGTAAATATACTTTTTTTTGGTATAAAGTATTATTCATGATTTTTTGCTTAATCAACTGTTCTATATTCATATATATATCTACTAAAAAATTACAATAATAAACTTCGGTAATAAGGCTCGATCACAAAATTCACAATAATAGTAAAGTTTCAAATTTAAATAATTAATTGGATAGATTATATAACTGGTGTATTCAACTCTTTTCTATAATCTTTATATTTTTAAAATGTCCAAACGATCAAAGAAGCAAGAATCGATTCAAGAAAGTTATGTAGCTAAAAAGCTACAAAAATTCGACCAAAAGTACCATGTGATTGCAAAATATGTAATGGTAAATTTGTCGACACAAGAACCAGGAATAAGCATGAAATAAAAGAGAAATAGCTCCAAGATGCAATCTCTAAAATGGATAAAAATAAAAGCAAAGAAAATCACGATAGATCTAATTCAGTTGAAATTTAATCTATGGATATTAATTCTTCTCAAAATCTTCGTAAAGATGATGCAATGATTGATAATGATCACGATCAATCCGATGAAAAGTCTTTTATTAGAAATCTAGTTTCTGTTAAAAAAAAGTGAAGAAGATATGATAAATTTCATATAACCGATAATATTGACATCTTTTCAGATGAAGAACCTGAACAGAATGATTCATTTAATAATGAAGAGGGTTCTCGATCGTTTGATAATAAACAAACTTTAGATGATGAATTATTCTCAGATGATAATGAGTTATTTGCAGTTCCCGTTAATCTTGATTATGATTCAGATCAGGATAATTCTATTACAAATATTAGTAAAACTAATTTATGAATTCTTCTTTAGATCTTTAATTCCAAGAAAGGTTTAAACTTCCCGATGTTTCAATTAATTTGTTGATTGGCTTCTTTAGCCTTGTTTTAAAAGATATTGATCCATATCAGTTTAAAAATTTCCTTCAACCACCTATATGGTCAGGAAGTTATTAAATATAAGGAAAAAATCAAAATCTTTTGCCACTTGTACCAATTGTAACAAGTTGTATGACATTGCATCAATAATTCCAAAAAATTCAGATAGTAATGCAACTATAGGATTCAAATATACACATATTGAATTTCCAAACTATCTTACGCAAAGTTATTATAAATCCTGTGATTCAGAATTACTCGTAAAGATCCTAGTAAATAATGGATACGTATGACATCCAAAGATGATATTTCAATTGCCATGCTTAAAAACTCAACTATTCTTGATGTATCAAAAACCAGGTTTTAAAGAACTTTAAAGAAATGGACCAATCGAAATATTACTGAGTTAATGTCTGATATCTATGATGGTGAAGTTTGAAAAAATTTTCCATCATGTTTAGATATTCTAAACCCTCCTAATTTCTTTACAGCTGAAATGGCTAATTCACATCTGGGAATCATGATCAACCTAGACTGGTTTCAGCTGTTTGAATCATCTGTCTATAGTTGTGAAGCAATTTATGGGGTAATTTATAACTTACCTCATGAAATTAGATTTAAAAAGGAAAATATGCTTACATTGGGTTTATTATCAGGACTATATGAAGTTAAGCTTCATAAAATCAACCATTATCTTGCACTGATAGTAGATGAATTGATTGGGTTTTGGGAAGATAGTTTTAATTTGACTTTGACCAATGAATGTCTTAATAGCAAAAAATTTAACTAGCAGTTATATGCTGCTCTAGTGATATTTCAGTTACAAGAAAATTATGCGGCCATATATCTACTCTAGTTGGGTGTCACAGATGTTATAAAAGGGCAAGTGGCGAAGAAGGTCAGAAACTGAATTTTGGAGGATTTGATGACATGGATAAGTGGTTTAGAATGAAAAATATTAAAGAATATTGACGTGATGCCTTAATTTGGAAACACCAACAAATAAAAGAAGCTCAGAAGAATCATGTTAGTAGAACTCTTGTCTGATAGTCTAAACTACTCTGATTATTATACCATAAACCAATAAGGCATTTAGTTATAGATCTGATGCACAACTTATTCTTGGATATTGCCCATTGGATTGTAAAAAAACTTTGGATTGATGATGGTAAAATAACTAAACCCAATCTAGAACTGATAAAAAAGCGAATAAAACAAATTAAAGTTCTTGCTACTTGAGTAGAATCTCTTATAAAATAGCAACTGGTGAGGGCTTTTCAGGATACATGGCAGATCAATGGAAATCATTTATTATGGTATATGCAATTCCTTTGATGTAGGATCTTTTAGATGAAGACGATCAAAAGATTTTAACAAATTTTGTCAGAGTATGCTTCTTATTAGTATCACATATTATTGATAATAATATATTAAATGAAGCATATATTCATTTGCTATCTGTTGCTCAATTAGTTAAAGAAAACTATAGACCAGAATTCATCACTCCAAATATTTATCTTTCTCTCTATCTAGCTGAATATTATCAAGATTAAGACTGACATATTCGTTCTGGTGCTATTCATTCAAAAGAATGAATGGTATTTTGGATAAGTTAGATGTCGAATTTTTTTTTTGTTACAAAAAAAGAAAAATTTTATTAAACTGGTTGTATTCTTAGGTTCATTTCCGAATAGTCATTACCAGATTGAACCAGAATTATTGTGAATAATAATGCAAAATTGGTGACTTAATAATCTTCTATCAGTCCAATCTAATAATATGAAGCTTATTGAAGAGTTAAAATTAATACAACTACGGGCAACATTAAGAAGTTTAGCAAGTTATGATAATTTTGAATCTGACAAACTTGTTCGATTTAGGTAAATTTATTTCTTCAAGGTCAAAAATATGATTACTGGTGCTGAACCTTTCCCTGATGTAATAATGTATCCTAAAAAAATCAATGTTGATTTGCCGGATAACATATATTTACTTTTAGTGGATTATTACAATGCGACTTATGGTGAAGACTTGGATTTTTTTCAATTACAAAGCATCTCGAAATCCAATATGCTCTGTCTGTAGAATTGTTATGTAACCCTAAATAAATCAGTTCAGGCATATTCGAATTGGAGCCAAAATTTTTGGATCTGTTATTGCGTCTCGATTTTTTAAAAATTCGTTTATTCTTGCAAATTTCGTGCAAGAAAATAGTTCAGTTGAAATATATCTCGGTCAAATCTAATACTTCTTTGAACATGAAGTTAAACTTTCAGGTAGGAGAGTATGCCATAATTTAGCTTTTATTAAATGGTTTAAACTAGCTTCAACTCATCAGACGAGATTTTACTTCCAAGTTAATGATGATATTCAAAATTGTAATGTAGAAATCTGGTTAGATACTTTTTATAATATCAGTAGAGACTGCATTATACTGGTAAATAACATATTTGGACGATTTGTACCAAGTGAATATGAAATAGGAAAAAGAAATTCAGTTATATATATGGCTGTTATTTCTATAGGAAGAAAATTTCACATTTAATATAAATTTACATTATTTATATTTATTTTATATTATTTTGTATTTTCTATTCGGTTTTAAATGGTTACTTATTTACAATAAATTTAATATGATGTAATACACAAATAAACTACAATATAAAATTTTAATATTAACAATAAACATCAATATGAATATAGATCATTCCTCAGACAGCATTTTACCTATGTATGCAATAACTGGCTTCAATATTAACAAATAAATATCTATAGGCATTTTCTGATTGTATTCAAATTATGGTAGAATACCAGTTGTTACTTATTTTAACATATTAGAATTCTGAATTGGCAAATGTATTCTATCTAGTAAGATTGCCAGTTGAACAGCATTTAATCTGCGTAATAAATAGGCATTTTCTGATTGTATTCAAATTATGATGAAATACTAGTTACTACTTATTTTAACATATTAGAATTCTGAATTGGCAAATATACTCTAACTGAAAAGATTGCCAGTTGAACAACGTTTAACCTATGTAATTTAAATTGATTTATGATCATATAAAAAGAAACATGACCAAGTCTGATAAAATATTAACTCTCAAATATCTGGATTGGCATGCTAAATTAAGTAAGTTACCAAGCATTTTAACGGATAAGATCCGTTCTAATTTATACAAAAAATATATAAGAGAAATGAGACTTGAGCTATGATAATTATCAGAAGATCACCTTCTCATAAATTCAAAGCCAGAAAACAAAGTATCTGATTTATCTTTTTCTGAGTAATGTAAAGAAAAAAGACCTATCACCTTCGAAACCAGACCTGATCCAGAGTTAATTATCAAATCTGTCTTAAAGTACTTCCCATACTTGAAATTCAGAAATAGTTTCAGAGAGATTAATAATTATCATCTCAGCCGTGAAGCTCACCATGTCTTATTTGTGATGAAATACATGGGAATTATGGATTACATGGCTCATGGTACTGCAAAAATGAAAATCAGCTCTCTTATAATCTTGAATTAGTAAAGTTCTATTCTCAAGATAAGTTAGAATATTATCTTACCTGCAACACTTCAAGCAATAAACTCAAGTTCGCAATTGTAGCATAAAAGCTTTGTTATGTACTCTTATGCTTGTATTTATTTTTTTATCACTTGTATATATTAATAAAGTACTCTTTTAATATGTTTATATGAAGTATTGTAAGTCAGATGATTCAGATCAATCTGTGTGACAACCAATTTCTCGTATATATACCTGATATACCCACAAAAAATTTCTTTTTTAATCACAAAAGCTATGTCATTTAACGTTGCAAGTTCCTCCACTGGTAGTTCCATTATTTCTTCATCTGATCTTCCGATAGCTGAGAAAATGAAAGAATATAATGCTAAAGAACTTAATAGATTTTTGAAAAAGAGACTAAACAATATTATTAAATATATTGATACCTTAACAGATCAAGAAGTCGATGGAGAAGCCTTTCTTGACTTAACGCACGCTGGCCTTAAAGCTTATAAGATACCTCTCAGACCTACTTCAAAAATTGTAAAGTTGATTAACGAAATTCAAAGAGGTAAGCGAACTTCTCTTGCATGCTCACCAAAAATACCAAATACTTACTTATTCTTGTGCTTTTCTTTCCTGCTTCTTATCATCAAACCCACCCAAAAAACATATTCACACTATCATAAAGTAACCTAATGCTCTGAACGGTTCAGTTCAGTCAGGATTATAGACCAATCTGAAACTGAACCGAACTGTAAACTGGTAAAAATCTGAACTGAACTGAAAATTTTGGATTAATCCAAAATTTCAGATTAATCCAAAATTTTGGATCGTTTAAAATGATCCTTTTATTGTTCTTTTGGAATGATAATTTAATCATTCTAATCAAACGATTTTCTTATAGTTCATTTGGAATGATAACTTCAATCATTCTAAATGAACAATTTTTTTATCGTTCGTTTGAAACGATAATTTTATCATTCTAATCGAATGATTTTCTTATTATTTATTTGGAATGATAACTTCAATCATTCCAAATGAACGATTCTTTTATCATTTTTTGGAATGATAATTTAATCGTTCCAATTAAACGATTCTTTTATCATTCGTTTGGAATAATAATTTGATCATTCCAATTGAACGATTCTTTTATCGTTCATTTAAAATGATAATTTGATCATTCTAATCGAACGATTTCCTTATTGTTCATTTAGAATGATAACTTTAATTGTTCTAAATAAATGATTTTCTTATTGTTCGTTTGGAATGATAATTTAATCGTTTCAAATGAATGATTCTTTTATCATTTGTTTAGAATGATAATTTTATCATTCATTTGGAACGATAAAAGAATCATTCCAAATGATCTAAAATTTCAGATTGAAATTTTTGCAATCCGAAACTGAACTGAAGTTGATCTAAACTGAAAATTTTCAGATTAATCCAAACTGTTCAGAGCTTTAGAGCAACCCGTTACTGATGAATCATAATAAATACTCAACACAAGTAACGTGTTTTGGCTTAATTTTTTGATAGCTAATTTTTTCTGTCATACTTATTAATAATATCAAATGTTCTAATTCTTTCTTTGGTAGTCCTGAAAGGAACTGCTGATTCTGTATATTTATTCATAAACAATTCGAACGTATATATCCAAGGAAAGAAAGAGACAGCCAGACGTAAAGTTGTAGATGAACATCTGGTTCAAATCGATTATGATAAATTAGTTAAAACAGCTCAAGTTAGTCGACATATGGGTGCTATTCCTGTTGTTATAGGATTGATTCCTCCTTCTAAAGATACAATATGAGCAAAGCTTGGGAATCTCAGATATAGTATAACCGTATTTGAGTGAAATTTTTTAAATAGAGAAAAAGAGGTCGATTTAGAAGTCTCTTTATGTATTAGTGACACAATCCACGATTATATATTCAGTACGGTGATATTAATCACTGGAGATGGTGATTACGGTCCAATATTTAGACGAGTCCTTAACAAAAATTGGACAATTGAGATCTGGTTTTAGACCGATGGTAATAAAATATTAATGTTTTGTAACTGAGTTATTATGTACTAATCTACCGTTAGGATTGTCATCACGCTTTACAGAAATGGATATCGATTATCCTGAATACAGAACAGTAATTGCTACACAAATCACCATTATAAATCTGGATGATTTTTACAAGAAATTTATGTATGCTTGTAGATATAATGGAATTTCAGAAACAAAGTGGCTTCAAATTTTTACAGACCTAGTTGAGAATAGTGATATAATGAAATGTTACATAGAATTAGACTTGTTCAGTTAGTGATACAGACCAAAGCCAGACTCTTTAAAATTGTATGTTAGAAATTATTCTCAATGGGAATAACTGAAAAATTTGATAACGCGTAAATATTCTAATGCTAGAGAATTAAACAATAGTAGGTATTGTTCATTAAGGATCTTTTCGTTAAGTCATTATATATAATATTTTGTAATAGACATATAACTGCAGTACAATTCTTTTAAATTTTATTGTTTCTCAGAAGTATTTTTTCTTGAAAGCAATACTTTCTTCAAAATATATTATCACCTTAAACATAAGGTTAATTCTGTCTGCTTGAAGTATTCGGATTAGAGAAGCGCTTTTCCTATTTTTCTCCCTAAGAAATTTTTTTATAAATGACTTATATATTTCAGGAACAATATTATTGTAGATTAGATTTAATCTAATTCGAGTAGAGTAATGCTAGTAATATATTATTCTTCCAGCCTATGATTAAGGAAAGGAAGAAAAGGTGATTATTGTTATTTGAAAATATCTATCCTAACAAATTTTATTATTCCACATTTGCCTTATTTTTCTGGCAATTTTTGGAGTAGTATCATCAATTCATTATCAAATTCTACAATATAACAATGGAGCATTTTTGTCAGCAACTTCTTAATGATAGGATTCAATTCATAGAACAGTGATATATTCGCAAATATTATATATTGTATCAGTAATTTTTTTATTTTATAATTAATAAAGTATCGATATATTTGTTAGAAGTTACATAATGATGTAACAGTTATTTTTAAAAAATATATTACACCTGTAAACTTTGTTAAGGAACAAAAAGTTGAGAGGCCTTATTTGTATGGTATTGTAACTACAGCTCAGGACTGGCACTTCCTGTTGTATACTCTAGAGGGTAATTTCACAAGGCAGTAAATTACCATTAAGCATCGAATTTTCTGAAGATACTTTTGATAAAGAATCTGTAGAATATCAAATGTTACGTAATGATATAAGAAAGGTGTTAGGCGTAATAGTGGATTTATTAAAGGATAGGGCATATGTGAAAGATGATTTTCCCTTAAAGAAAAGGCTAGAATAGAGGAATACCATTTGAAAAAATAAGCGTGTATAATAATAGCCTGCAAACATATCATAGAAACGTCATGTACTACGAGCAAAGTCCTGAACCTTTATATTTATTTTTTGCATGTATTAACAAACTTCCTGGACTGAGTTCAGGAAAAAAAAGCATGTGATCATATTAATTTGAAAAGAGAAAACCTATCAGATAAGCTATCAAATCAAAAGAGAGGATATGTTATCTCCCGCAGTGTCAAAGATACAAGGGAGGAGTTTTTGGGTTCTTTAGTAATGTTAGTGATATAAAAGTGATAGAATGGATAAGTCTTTTAATACTACTACAATCTTAAATCTATTCTCAGATGATATCGATTTTGTTATTGCTAGATTAAATGGATGAAAATTTGAGTGGTGTTTAATTTAAAAAATGGCTAGATAGTTCTAAAAGGCTTCAAAAAATGGTAAAACGAATACTAGAATCTTTGTAAGTTCACTTGAGTTTTGCCTACTATACTCTGCCTTTTTATATATGTTAGTTTACAGCATAAATAATAGAAATGAGCAGAATTTTTTATAAGTTTAAAGTTTGAAAGTCACTTAAGTATGAAGCATATACAAAGAAGAAGAAATCAGTTAATGAAAGATCGTATATCTGTGAAGTACTTGCGCCATTAATAAATATAGTAATGAGTGAATTGCCTGAAAATCCTGCTGTATAGGATATATGGTAAGTACTACTTCTAGTATCAGCAATAAATAATTCTATAGCGCTATTTTTTCTTATTTAATGATTTTTCTTAAATAGGAGTGAAGAGGAAGTTCAGCTAGCACTGTACGAAAAGGATCTCATAAATTTGCATGAAAACCTGATTATATAACTATAGTGCAACTAGAGAAAGATGTGAAGCTTGAAGTTGTATATCTTAAAATTAGCAGGCCAGATTTCAGTTAAGACAAGCATTAGCAAGACTACAAAAAATTAGTATGATTTTCTAAAGATTCTATTGATACTACTAGAAAAATATCAAAGCTTAAGAGGGTATTTAATATATCATCTAAGAGGCAGATTTTGTCTATATTTGCTATAAATATCGCAGGTAATGCATTATATTTTTACTTTAATTTAGTCCATTACCCGCTCTTGTATTACAAACTAATAGCGAATAGTCATATTGCTTTTATTATAGGTAATGTTATAGAACTTTATGCTATGCATAGAAAATCAGGTATTTATAAGTACTGCCTAATAGAGGAAGTACCAATTCCACTACATATGACTTTATCAAGTGTTATATCCACCCATCTATGCTTTAATGACATTAAGAATAGCTGTCGCATGCACGATTTATAAAATATTACATAATCCTGATTTTGGAGATAGTGAACATAGTTTTAGCGAAATGGCAGTTACGGTTTCAACTCCAAAAAATTTATAGAATCATTACTGATATTGCAAAATATTCTAATTGTTAATATGAGTATACTCTACAATGTACCTTTAAAAAGATCAAATCAAAATGTAGAAAAAAGCTCTACAGTTTCTTCACCTAAGCAAAATAACTAGATTTTTTTTTGTATTTTTATGGACTATTTTAATAAAATTTTCTTGGCAAAATTAGGGCGACCTGAGGTTGCTGAAATCACATGATTTTTTATTTTTAAATATTAACATACTAATACTATATTACGCAAGTATATAATCTGAAATAGATGATTTCAGAATGACTGATTCATTAAAATGATGCATTGTCAAGCTTGAGATCGAGAATGATAAAATTAAAGCTGAAAATGTTGATTAAAGGCCAGAATTTTGAAATTGAAAGATAAGCAATTGCAAAATGAAATAGTAAAAAATTTATTATCTGAATTGCGAAAAATGTAATCCTATATTAATGCTGGCAAAAGTGATCAACATTACAATTTGTAATGCGTACGTGATTTAATCAGAGTTAATATTTTGGCTGATCTTCCAGTTGTATCATAACATTGACATGTAAATATTTCTAGTAATAGATTTTTCAGATAATACTATAGTACTGATATAATAAAGTAGTCATTTTTTTGAAATTTCATGAAATTCCATTTTTTTGTGCAATGTATAAATATATAATGACAATTAACCAGGCATATTCTGACTTGCTAGCAAAATTACCAGATTTCCTATTAAATGAAGCATGGATATATCTCACATCACAGAAGTGTAACCCATTATCTGAAAAAGAGGCTAGTAAAATTAATCCAATTGTAGAGTCATTTTTAAAATATGAAGCTATTAGATATTAAAAGAGATTAATGCGTCAGAGATGAATCCAAAGTTGGCCAGAGTGTCAAACATCTTTATCTTTCAAAAAAATATCAACTATATACGTTACAGATAATAGGTCCTAAACTGATAATATCATTTGATTGAGCCAGACGCTAAAGCATGATCATGAAGAAGAGAATAATCGCTGACTTATAAATGAGCTTAAAGTACTATCTCAGCACCTGCTTGATTATAATAGATGAACTTTTAAGAAATTTATGCATAATATAAAAAAGGAATATAGAGAGCAGATTAATACAAATAAGAAAATGCGTTATAAAATCAAAGATCTGAAGATGCAAGTACTGAAGATGAAAAAAGAGCTGGCATCTATTAAGTCAGATTCTATTCATTAGTTGAGGCACTTTTTTCTTTGCACTTCTGCTAAGTAATATTCTGGTTAAAATCATGCAAGAATTTATATAAATCAAAGGTTCTCCCTTTCTCTTTTATAATCACGAAAAAAGAATGTCATTTTACAAATCTCACTCAAGGTAGAAAAGAACATGTGAAGAATATATAGCTGAGCTGAAGGAGGAGAACTTTCATTTTCATAATGAATTGCAAACAGAAGTTGATACTAATTGCCAAAATAAGAGACGAATTAATCAACTAAAACAGAATTATACCCAATATGAACAGGAAATCCAAAATCTTATTGGTGAGATAGAGCGTCTTAAAAATGCTTCAGAAGAAGAAATATCAGAAACGAAGTCTGAAATCTCTAGCCTGAAAAATCAGTTATATCAAGCTAAGAAGGTTATGCGAAATAAGGATAAGTATATCTCTTTCTTAGAGAAGAAATTATTAGAGTCTGAAGAACAGATAGAGAAATTGTGATGCTAGATCAAGACTATCTCATCACAGAAAAAATTTTCAGAGCAGAAGAATTCTCTAGACATGTATAATTTTAATATTAACTTAGAAATAGCCACAATCATAAAGCTAGCAAATGCTATAGATGGTTATGTGAATAATTTAACAACAGGTAGAGAAATTTTAGCAGATCAAATAAAAAGGGCAACAAGGCAGATACACTAAAAAGAAAATAATTTGTATCAGGATTTAGTCTGTAAACAAAGAAAGTGCTATGATGCAGAGGCTGAGCAAGATCTTGCTATTACATGAAGAGATCTTGCTAAAGGAGTAATGGATAGAGTTATTAGTAATCTTTAGCAGTTGCGGGCTAATGCTCAAAGTCAAGTAAATAGAATGTTAGATAATATAACAAAAAAGCGAACCTATATTGATGTATTATTACAGGAAAAATTTGTCTTACAACTACTATATCAGCAAAATACTTACCACATACAGCGAAGTAGAGGAGATATAGGTTTATTAGAGTATAATCGAGATAGGCTCTATAAGCGATATGAGAAATAAAAAATAAGATCTGTGATATTTGGCAAAATATTTTATATTTGCAGAGACAAATTTTAGCGCTACAGAATAATCCACCTAATCAAATAAATATGGTTTTACCTAGAGGATTTGTAATGCCTGAATTATGTAGCTTTGAATAAGATCATAAAAAGTTTAGAGATGATTTTATAGTGTATATCAATTTAGCAAGTCTAAATGATGAAGCAAGAATTCGCAATATATTAGATCAATCAGTAAAGGAAGAAGTGCAAGAGTAATACAATAGGAAGTTTGTTAACAAAAACTGAGAGTTACAAAATGTACTTGATAACTCAGCTATAAGTGCCACTATAGCTCATATTTGTGATGCTAATGTAGAAGCTATAATGGGGCTGTCGCATCTTTTCCAAATATTCCATTAAGTCTTGCAGTTGCAGATATTATTCCAGTTTGAGGACTTGATAAAGATTGGAGAATAGCTGGAAGACAACCAATCAATGCAGTACCAGTTGCACCAAATACTGAAGGAGGTGTTCCTATTATTCTTGCAGAAATCCAGTCTGGACAAAGGTTGGATCATATTAAAAATCATTTTCCATCTGCTGATAGATATTTGAGAATGCTTGAAATTAGAACATTAAAACAAGAAACACATGAAAGTATAACATTTTTCTGGACAAAAATTCAAAAGTATGGAGATCAATTAGGCTATACTCCTATGCAAAAGAAAACAAATTTTATGTCTGGAGTAAGACATAATATATTAAATGATATCATTATGATTGGTCATCACAAACCTATTAATAATATTCTCGATAGTTTGAAAGAAATAGAATTACATCATAGGATATTAGAGCTATTACTATCATATTCTAGCTATTCATTAGTCCCTCCTACCATTCCTAATATCACATCTCAACAACAAGAAATATCTTTAGAAGAGATGCAAAAAGCAATTCAAAACGCACTGGCACAGCAAAAAATGAATACCAGTCTTTACTAGAAAAGTAAAAATCTGATTTTTAATTGCAAATGGCTCAGTAAGTATCTATCTCACAAACTGTTAAATCGTTTAGACAGCCAAGAGGTCCACCATCTTCATTGAAAACAGAGGAAGGTACCAAGAATTATTATGTAGCTGAATACTTAAAAGAAGTAGATTTATTTAACAAGAAAGATTTAGACTCTAATTATTCTGTAAAGCCTTTTCAAAGACTCTGTTCTCAACAAAACAATATTTCTACTAGAATCAATAGAGTAAAAGATGGAATTAATGAAACTCATGATGCAGTAAATTATTTAACAAACTAATTTCAGAAACTAAATATATATAAATGTGATATTTGTGAAGAAACAGATTATAGTAAAGGCAGTTATCCCAATAGACAGATTATATGATCTAATTTTAATTGATCTTATTTTAAGCCTATCATATCTATAAATTTTCAAAATATGCCTTCAGATTCTGATAATGATGAAGATAATAGTAGTGGTTATAATAAAGTAAATAATGCATGGTATTATACATTAGAAAAAAAACAACTACCACTAAATGATAAGTTATCTTTAGAGTCTAGTCAGCTGAAAACATATGATGAATTATTTTTAAAACTTTCACCACCAATGTGAAAAATACGTCAGTCTCATATAGTTTAAGAGAAAGAATTAAAATCAGATAAGTGATTTTCATTATTATAATATCTGAATGTTAAAATAGATAATTTAATGATCTCTAATTCTTTTTTAAATAGTGTGAGTGAGTTCAGAAGAGTGAATGATGCAACAATTAATACCTTTAGGTGGAAAGCTGATAAGCTATTTAACTTTGCAATAAAAGGTAACTCCAAACACATTACTGAATCATTAGAATGGTTTACAAATGTGTCAGTGAGTATAAAAGATAAAAATGATAAGATCATCACACAGTTATTGAAAATTTTACTCGTATTGATAATGGTGAGTCTGAAGCAATATTATGTTTAGGTATAACATAAATTCAAAAAGTTTAAGGTATTCTTGATCTGAATAAAAACCAATTCTGAATGAATTTACATGAAAAGGCTTATACTATCCTGACGTATAGCAAGATTCCAGTAGCTAAAGATTCACTAAATGAAGAGCAGAACTAAGTATCTACTGATTCCTCTAATCCAATTAGTAAAGACTTAAAAAAAGTGCGAAAAGCTTGAAAGACGCCTCCTGAAAACTGAAAAATAACTTGACATAACATTAAATGCAGGTAATATTCTTGTGAAAAGATGCTTACAACTTATGGAGAAAAGATCAGATGCATGATAGCTTTTCTAATAATATTTACTAATTTATTAAAATTAGATTCTCGTCTAGATATATCATCTTTAAAAGAATATCTACTTTATTTTTATTTTTTTTCACTAAATCCACTGAAGAAGAAGATTTATCTTTTAGTTTTATACTAGCCTTTTTTTTCTGATTAACTTTATCTTTTTGCCTATTAGTTACTGTATTCAGACTATTAGAATTTATATGTAAATTTGCACTATTTTCACCATCTGCAGGGTGTTCTGTATAAATGATAATAGAGGAGGAAGTATCATGCTCTGCACTTCCTGACTATAAATCTTGTTGAGCACGATCAGGCTGACCTAACACATGTTTATGTCAAATTTTATATACTTGTTTTGTTAAAATATTGTTACAGCATTTTTAACTTTTTCACGAGAATTGCAGATTTCTTTAAGTGCTTCTGGTAATAAATAAGTAGCACCTGCACAATAATATTCTTTAGATAAACGCTCCATTCTTTGTAATAAAAAAATGTTAATATTTATTAAAATTTAAAATTTATCAATTTTCTTTAATAATTATCTAAAAATTATAATCAATATTTATTAAAATTTATTAAATATTATCAAATATTATCAGATTTTATTAGATTTTTTTAATAACTTTTGAAAAAGACCAGTTTTTACTAATTATTTTAAAAATATGAATATTAGAAAATCTTCAAAAATTATTAATTAGAAAGTTCAGCATATAAATTATATATTCCTTCAATTTCTTTATTCCAATTAATTTTCAGAGATGAATAGGATAAGCTTACAATAAATTTCCATTTCTCAGTAGATTCAGAAGGTATTTGATTATTAACTATATCCTTATACCTTTTCATACCAATCTGATATTTTTTACATATAATACGAGATGTATTTGAAATATTCCTTGAGGCGTTTCTAATTTCTTCTATAACTTCTATTATTAAAGGAGTTGCATCAGATCTTAAAAATCTTTTACGTATTGTTCAAATTACTTTTTTTTTACTTTATGTAAGTATTCAAAATAAAAAAAATACATAATGAGATTTGAGATCGTGTTTTAAAAAAAAATCATAAAAATATTTACTTTTAAGTAAATTATATGGTGAACATGTATACACTGAATAAGATAAATAATGGAATACCCTTAGTATTTGGTAATAAACTTGAAGATTTGTCATCTAATCAATATCTATCTAATCAAACTAAGCTTGAGAATCAACTTGTTTATCTAAAATATAATCTAAATATTGCTTTAAGCTCAAGTATTCAGCTTGGTATTAGAAATACTTTCCTGATAAAAAATAATGAGAGTTTTTCAGAGCGCGTATGCCAGCTTGAAGATAAGGTAAGAGAACTTAAAAATCAGATTATCTATAAAAATATTTCTTTCTCAAAAGCTGAGAACGAGATCACTACAAAATTGGAAAAGATATAAGCTCTCCAATTGGAAATAAAAGAATTGAAAATGAAGTATTTTTTAGCCCAGAAAGATTTATTAGAAATGGATTCCCTTAGACAAGAGTTAGCATAGTCAAGGTAAAATGTTAAGCTAAAGAATGTTAACTTAGATCTGAAGGAAGATGAATTAAGCGATAAAAAGGGTGAATTAATGTGGTTGAGGGATAAAATAACTTCAATGCGAACAGAATTGATAGATAAAAAAGAAGAATTAATACAGATGAGAGATAATTTGTTCTCAATACAAAAGACATTATCAGAAAAAGAGATCCTCCTTCAAGAGATTAATACTTATTTAGCTGAGCATATCCTAAAAATATCTAGTAAGTCTGAAGTACTTAGAGGTATTAAAGGACAAGAGAACAGTAACAAAATCACTAGTTTCAAAATAACCTTAGTATCACCTTATTCCTTATTTTTTCAGCATGCAATCATCTTTATAATATTATTATTAATCATATACATCTTATGATACATATTCTCTCATTTATATTCGAATGAAAAAAAAAATATTCTGAACTATAAAATACCCTTAAATAGAAATCAAAGTTATGCATTTTTAATCTACAATACAAAAGAATCAAAAAACAAGACTACCTCCTATGAAACTTTATCTTATGGATATGCATGAGACTACAAAGCATGAATCATTCTGAATTCAACTATCTTTCAAAGGTTTATCTAGTATCTAAAATTCAAATTTTTTTTTAGTTGCGGATCCACAACTAAAAAAGTGACTTAAATGCGGACTATTAATTTTAGTTGCATATTACGCATTCAAATTTAATCACAAGGTTGCGTTAATTATAAATTACTTGTAGCATAATAAAAAACTAAAATAAAAAAATTGCATTTATATTTATTACTCCTAAATTTTATTAAATTCAAACTAAAAATTTTACAAATTTATTTATTAAATGCGTTTTGGAAACCTTTGCCAAACATCAAATGCCCTTTTAAAATCAAAATCTTTAAACTCGGGCCTGTTCATAACAATTATAAGATGAGAATTTAGAGCTTTAAGTTTCATTTAATTGCGTACTTTTGTTTTAATAAGATTTTGTTGAGAAAAAACTCTTTTCATATTACCATTTGAAAGTGGTATTATTAATGAATAATTAACTACTTTGCTTAAATTTGGATAAAGTGTTAAAAATTGAGAACTGGTAAAAATCCGTCTCCATCCATTTATAAAATTAAACTCTTGATAATTTTTTAAAAGCAATTTTGCTTCACGCCATTCTTGAATAAGTCCAGTCTTATTAATCTTTACGGGAAAACTTGCTTATTCTGATATTTAGAACTTCCATAAAAATCACCTAATATTTTGATTTCATGTTCACCATATATTGCTATTTCATTTGACTTTGTTGGAATTTGAGAAA